ACCCCAGTACGGGCGGCTCCCACAGACACGGGCAGATTGACTAGATCTCCCTTAGAACAAGTGGACCAGAGGGACAGGCACCACTCACCGTCCGGCCAGCAGCAGGACAGGTAATGCGCTGTCACTGCCGGCAAGGGGACAGGCATGTCCCATCTGCTGCTAGATATGAGCGCTGTCAGCACTGGTCACTGAGTGACATCTGCAGGAATTCCAGGGACTTTCGCTAGCCCGTTCCCTGGAATCTCTTCCCGGCCTCCTAGTCATTAAGGAAGAATCAGGTACAACACCCCTGTGCGCTGTCGGCTGGCTTAGGGCATGAGGCCTTCCCAGCGCCTGAGAAGTGCCCAGATGGAATCTTCATCGTTCTCCACACTGCCATTCTTGGAATGGGAGCTGGCTGATGAGAGTGAGGAAGAGCAAAAGGCCAAAAGGAGAAGGAGCTGCAGATGTCTGGAAGCACAGGCTCCCAGAATTCCAGGATTTGGGAAACATGAGTTATTTGAGCCTGGGCTGAAAGGCTTAGGAGTCTCCCGGTCTGTACCTGGGAGCTACACGCAAACCCTGGCTGTGGTTCCACCTCCCCAGCATCCTGCTTCTGGAAAAGGGTGGGGGTGCAGTGCTCCAGCCCAAGCTGCCCTTCATCCCTGGTACTCCCTTGGCAGCACATTGCGGAGGGTTTCACACTGCACGAGGCACAAAGCAGGGAGTGGGGACTTTGACACACACACACACACCCTTCTCCATTTAGCGATGGCACCGCTGCTGTGCTCTGAAGACAGCTCACGCAGGCAGCCAGGCCATTACGGGATAAATATAGATGCACACAGTGTGGTGAGGAGGCCTCGGCAGGGGTCGGTCCTGATGCCTGGCCCCAGCTTCCCCAGACCATACTGCCAGTGAAGCCATTCCAAGCCCTGGGACCCCCGACTTCCCAGGCTCCAGGTCCAGTCCGGCCCAGTCTTGGAGGACATGGCCCAGGGCCTCCCTTCCTATAGGAAATCCTCCTCTTGCCACTCTCACCTCTACCCCCTTTCTGGGTCTCAAATGGGGCTTGGAAATACTCGTGAGTTGCACAAGTGTTCTGAGTCCCTTAGGAACCCCTGGAAGGGCCTGGCCAGGCTAAGGGAAAAGTGAGGGTTTGGTAACAGGGTCCACTTGCCTTCAAATGTGGCTGTACTGGAAGGGGGATTCTGGGGTGCCTTCTGAGATGAGGACCCATGTTCACCCAGGGGACAGCTGGGCATCAGGAGGTTCTCCACGCTCTGTGGGAACCTCAGCAAGTCCCTGGTCGCCTCTCTGGGCTTCAGGTTCCCTGGCAAGCATCCGGGCAGCCTTGGGAAGCCCAGGAGTGCCCCCTTGGACCTTCCTGAAGCATGTACCTGGCATCTCTGGGCTGCTCGGGCCCACAGAGTCAGCCGATCTCTATGCCCAATCCCCGTGTGGATGCCCCGCACGCCCATGCGCTCTGCTCCCTGCTCCTGGGCAGGCCTCTCACCACCTCCTGCTGAGGGCTCCTGGCAGCCAGTGGCCTCCAGGCTGCCCACTCAGAACAACCCCCTGTGCCTGGATGGTAGCAGCATTCCAAGCAAGGGGCCCACAACTCTGGAGACAGTCTCAGACCTCTGTGAGTGAGTCTCAACAGCCAAGGATGCCACCACCTATTCAGCTCCTTGTCCCAGCTCCCTACCACCCAATCAAGGAGGCACAAGTCACAGCACTGACCAGATACTGCCTAGGTACTTGGCCTGGGAGATGGGTCTAGCTCTTATGATCACACCATTTTACAGATCAGAAAACTGAGGCACATAGAAGCTAAGAAACCTGCCTGTTAGAGGCGGAGCTATATACCCCAAAACAAGGCTTCACAGTGGAGAGTTGCAAGTGTTATTCATTCAGATGGGGTTGCACAGTCTTTGGTTCATGATGGCTAATGGCTCTACGAGGACTTAGGAAGGCAGGGAGGGAAGATGGCAGGAGGTGGAGCCTGGAGTGACGCAGCCCCAGGCCTTACAAGCAGCCAGAAGAGGCCTGAAAGGAACCTCCTCTGGAAGCTGCACAGGAAATCCATCCCCTGCAGGACACTCATCGGCTGGAGGCAAGCTGCTCCTAGAGTCCACTGGGCTCTGAACCAGTGCACCATACCTATCCCAAGTCAGGGCCCCAGGCACCTGCCTCAAAAACACTGCACAGGTCCTGCCTAGAGTAAGGGGCTGCAGTGGTCACCTGCTGGGCACTGAGCCCGCTCTCTACTGGTTCTTGGTGAGCACACCAGGCAGGCCCAGTGTCCCTGGTTCCTGGCAAGATGGATGGATGGAGAGCTGAGGTGCAGGAAGACTTGGCGATGCATGACCCCAGGACCTTTGTATATGTTGTTTCCTCCATCCAGGGCACACTCCCCTTGCACACTAATTCACAAACATTCCCTAAGTGCCCATGAAGCACCAGGTGTAGCTGAGCTACGAGAGGGACCAATGCTCTCCTCCCATAGGGCTTCTAGCCACAGAACTCTGCAGCTCAACTGGAGGCTTCCCTGCCCCGACCATGGACCCTCTACCCTGATGCAATTTCCTCCAGGCCTTCACCACCGTTGGGCTTGCCCACTTTGTTACCTGCCTGCTCCCTTTCCATCCCTGTCTGTCTTGACCACTGCTGTGCCCCCAACACCCAGCACAGTGCCAAACCCAGAGGACTGGCTCAAGGAGCCTACAGAATGACCACATGGCAAATGCAGGGCCCAAAACCAGTGTCAGTGGGAACCGCCACACCTGCCTTGGTTCTCGGCAGGCTCTGTCACCGCTACCTTAAGAACTTCATGGGACTCGCTTCTTGGCCTTTTGGCTAAGATCAAATGTAAGAACTTTATGGGGACAGTGGCAGGAGGCGGTCCTCCCCTGAGCATGCCCATTTGTGCAAGGAAGGCATCAAAGGCTGAGAGAGGTTGAGAGACTTGCCCTAGGTCACTAGGACAACAGGGGATTCTCACCAGCACAGGTCAGTTCCCAGCCCCCCTGGGTCCTAGAAACAAGCAAACGCTACTTCTGGGCCGAGGTGAGGGTAGGGAGTACCATACACCTTTCCTTAGTTCCTCCTCTTTGGCCGGCTTGGACACCCCCTGCCTTCTGGCAGCCCCCCCAGCATTGGGGACCCCTCCAGGGGCCCAGTATCACAGACTGGCTGTAGCAGGAGACTACAGGACAAGCAGACACCATCCTTCTGCGAATTGGCATTTATCTAGCACCTTCTGGATCCACGTGCACAGACACAGCCCTGCGTCACACAGACACCGTTGGTTGCCTCTCCCTGGAGTCGACCCTCTCTGGGGACAAGGTAGGTAATAAACTCTTGCGTGCCAAATAAATGACTTAGAGAGTGGCAGAGGCCTGGAGAATGACAAAGCAAGGCGTACAGGAGTGAGGAGGGACAGCAGTGCAATCTCCACCCAATTAATCCAACATCAGGGTCCCATTGGAAGAGGAAGGTGTGGCCCGGGCCAGGGGGCAGGGCAGTCTCCTTGAACACAGATGTCAGTGGGCAGCCCCTCCCACCCTCAACTCCAGGCCAAGGCAGAGTACTCCATGCTGGGAGCCGGCCTGTGATCCAGCTCAGTCCCTGTGGGAGCCCACCGCCTCCCTTTGCCAGATCTTGCTTTTCTGAGACCATTCCCACAGCAGACAGGGATGCGGTCCTGGAGGGGTCCTCTCCTGCTGACCCACTACCACTGCGTGCCCCCTGTGCTACCACCTGTTAGGGCCAGGGAGCCCCTGACACTGGGCAGGACCTTCCCAGCAGGTGCAAGAACGACTGCTCTTGTCCTCTGTTCACATGTTCACACACGGTGGCCCTTCTGTGCTCATGGCCTTGGGAGGGGACCTCCCCCAACTCCACCCCACACACGCACACACAGGCCCCTAGAACAGCCCAGAAGCTCCTGCATGTGGATTCCCTGTCTCCTCTCTTCAGGGAGCGGGTGGGGGAAGAGCAAGAGGCCCTAGAGAGTCCCAGGAGGGGAGCCTGAAAGCAGCCAGCCACGCTGGGCCGGGCTTCCTAATACTCCCTGTGAACAATGACAACGACCATTGATGCGATGACAATGACAGTTACCCACGATTCCCTGGCGCCGGCACAGTCAGGCACACGCACGTCTTTGTCATCTAATAACCTCAAAACCACCTCTGAGGAACCACACACAACTGCATGACACCAGGAGAAAGGTCTCCAGCCAGGGCACGGGCCCAGTGGACATGGGCAGCAGCCGCCCACCTCTTCCACGCAGAACCCTGAGATTTGAGGAGAACCAGTGCCCACATCCTCAGCCATGGAGAAGCGTGTTGGGGGAACCCCTCCTGTCCCAGCCAGGTGTGTCACCCTTGCCGGGGGGCACTTCCAGAGCTCCTGGATTCTCTGCCAAGTGGAACTGAAATCAAACCTCTCTGTTTGGGTCCAGCTTCCGGTTGGGCAGGCCCTAGGGGCGGGCCCATTTTACAGGTGATGATCAGAAGAGAGGAGAGTCTGGACCAAGGCCCGACTGGTCAGAAGGTGTGTGTTCCTACCCACAGCTCCCCTGTGATGCTGCGGGCAGTCACAGTACCCCTTCCCAGAGGGTAAAATCACCCCATTTCCTGCACCCAGAACTGCAGTGCCCTTGACCCTGAGCTGGGAGCAGTGAGGCACTGGTGACCCTAGCTCAGTCCTCATGTCGGTGGGTCCCATCTCCCCCCTGGGGGATGCCGAGCGAATGACTCAGGATCCAGTGGATCCAGCTAGGATCCCTAGCTGATGTCTGTGCTAAGATTGCCGGCTGACCCAGCTCCTTTCATGGGCACCCACAGTGCCTCTTCTGCACTCGCCTGCCGCCATAGCTACCTCTACCCCGGGAGAGAGGGCTGGATTCTTGCAGGGCTTCCCCCACCTTCCACACAGCAACCCCTGCAAGGGTTAAAGGAGACCACCCAGGGGCAGGGAGGCCCATGAGGAGGTGGGTTCCCAGGATGGGACCTTACCTGGCAAGAGAGCAATGATTACTGAAGCCACATGTCCCATATCCATCGGTCACAGCTTACACCCCCAGATGCGCCAACCCTAAGGTTGGACAACAAAATGGGCCCTAGGGGGGAGTCTCAGTCCCTTCCCTAGGCCAGTGATTTTGTGTAAATCTCAGGGCCCCCTGGGAGGCAGCTCCTCTCCCAAAGAAGGGCTTTCTAACCTGGGGAGGTGGGGGGGAGGCAAGTGAGACAGCTGGACAGAAAGAGGGCCTCTCCTCCTCCTACCTCATCCCTTCAATACGCAGGTGCCAGACAGCTTTTGCGCAAAAACTAGTTTGCAAACACTTCTGGGAAGCTGCCTAGCCTCACTTCCCCTTGGGCTCCCTCTCCCAGGGGCATTTTCCTGGGGCACCAGGTGTGGCGGGGTGGCAGCTGGGGCAGTCGGGGTGCGGGGAGCCAGCCCGAGTTCTCTGGGTGGCGAGGGAGGCCGGAAGCTCCTCCGAATAGCTGGGTTAGGACCCCCGAGAGCGACCCCCAGTTCCTGCCACCGCCCGCCCTTCCCCCCCGCAGTCCGGGCGGAGGCGGAGCGCCCCCGCGTGGCCGGGGCGCAGCTGAGTCACCCGCATGCCCCGAGTCTGGGTGCGCGCGGGCGGCTGGGGCTGGGGGCGCCGCGGCTCGACCCCTCACTCCACCCCACGAGGCCGAACCCAGCCTCCTCCCGACCCACCGAGGCCGCCCCCGGGATGAACTTGAGATGCAGCCGCCCCGCCCTCCCCTGGGTCGCCCGGGCCCCACTCACCTAGCGTCCCGCGAGCGCCGCCGCCCTCAGCACGCGGCCGCCGCTGCTGCCCGCGCTCTGGGACCCCGGGGCATCCCCGGGCACTGCCCTGCTCGGCCGGGCCCGCGGGCGCGGGACGGGCTCAGTGTGCAGCCCGCGCGGCCATGCCCGCTCGCGTGCGCTCGCAGTCGCTCGGGGTCCGGGGCTCCTCCCGGGCCGGGCGGGCTGGCGACGGCGGCGGTGGATCGGGCTCCTCCCTCCGGTCGAGGAGGAGGAGGAGGAGGGCGGGGGGTGCGGGGCGGGAAGCGGAGAGGCGAGGCGGGCGCTTCCTGGAGGGGCGAGCGCTCTCCCACGGGCGCCGCGGGGGCGCTGTCCCGCCCCGAGCCGCGGCTGGCGCGCCCAGGCGCTCGGGGCGCCGTGGGGGCCAAACGTTCGAGGCCCGCACCGGGCAGGCTGCGAAGCCGCTGTCGGGATGCCGCGGGTTCGCGCCCTACCCAGGCCTGCCTCAGCTGCCTGCGCCTGCCACCTCCAGTGCTCGGGGCTGCACGCGGGAGCCGAGGATTGGGCTCAGCCCCGGCCTGCGGGTTGGGGTCAGAGAACCCCAGGGGTGCTGATGGGCACCTGGGGGTGGGGTGGGGGGGGGGAGATGTCACCATGCTTGGCCCTGAGCAGTCTTGGGCAGCGCTAGGACCGCGGTGCGCCAGTCCCCTTTTTCTTGTTTGTATAGCGAACGAGCTCGCGTCTTCTTGCCGCCGGGGACCCGGAAGATGACATATTTCTCTGACACGGACGATCACATCAAAATGGCCAGAAATGGGACCCGCGAGCGTGCTAGTGGGCGAGCCTGCCTTCAGTTGCCTGAAAGAGGCCCCGGAGGCTTTGCCAGTCGCTGTGCATGTGCCCTCAGGGAAACCTCACTGATGCCTCGAGGCACCAGACAGCTGAGAAAGAGGGGCAGGTCTGGGGGCCCCCCAGACCCTGGCAGGTGGAAGCGAAACCTTAAAGAGTAGCGCTTGGGCCCTGGGTTTTCCTTCCCCGGCAGGCGAGGGTTAAGGTGGGAGCCCCCCTCCTCCCCCTGCTGGACTGAGTCACCAGAACTGAACAGTCTTTGAGGGGCCTCCATTAGGCAGCCCTAGGGCCCTGGGCTTCGTTCTAAGCTGCCTGTCCCCCGCCCCCCCTGCTTTGTTCCATCTGAAGCTTGTGAACTCTCCGCACTGTCCCCAGCAAACCAACCTACAGGTGTCCAAGAACCAGCTCCAGCTCCACTTCTTCTGGGAAGCATCCCTTTATTCCGTCAGGATGACAAGGCACTGGGGTGCCTAGTCTTGCAGCTGCTCGCTTCCTGTTGGACCAGGACCCTGACAACAGGGCTCAGTCAGGCTTCCTCTTGGAGACCTGGAGGATAGGCTAGTGGGACTTGGTGAGGGGAGGAAGATGCTATGTCTTTGGCTATAGATGCAGAGGGAGAAGGCCAGGGTCCCAGCAACACCACTCCCAGGTAACCCAGGCAGTCCCCTGCATGAAAACCTAGGATACACAGATGTTCACAGTGGTGTGACTGGCAGGAGCAAGGAGCAGGCACAGGGCCACAGCCCATCAAGTGCTGGGTGACAGGTGGAAGACAGAAGGTGCTGGGTATCCAGCCAGAGCAGGCGCTCGGCCCTGCACGGACTGAAAGCTGTTGCCGGGCGAAGGCAGACAGTCCCACAATGACAACAACGACATGAGCCAGGGGACTGCATTTAGACAACAGGTGCCGGGCTGACAGATCCTAAGGAAAAGCGCTTCCGGGTCCCTGGAAAGGGAGAAGCAGGGCATGGTTTCTTTGGAGAGAAGGATAAAAGTTTCCTCTGCTTGGACCACTCCCTTCTCTCTCCCATCCGTTATCAGAATACCTGAGGTTGAGTCCCTGCTTGCATTTCTGATCCTAGCTTCCTGCTGACCCTCACCCAGAGGCAGCAGGTGAGGGCCCCAGGACTGGTCTCTGCCACCCATGTGGAGGACCCGGATTGAGTTCCTGGGTTCTGGCTTCAGCTTGGCACAAACCCTCACCCTCAGCTGTTATGGGTTTTGGGAAAATGCGTGGACAGAAACTCCCTGACTCGATGTTTCTCGCTGCCTTTTAAGTAATAGAATCAGTGTTAAAACCATCGACTTGTGCACAGTAAGGGACAAATTTCGTGGCACATGAGCAGTGTCTCAATGAAGCTGCCTTTCACAGTGCTAAGGCATGGGCCTGGCAGATGGGTCAGCAGTTTGGGCACTTATTGATGTGCCTGTGGCTACAGCACGGAGTGCCTGGCCTTGAGTCCCCAGTTCTGGCTCCCTGCTACTGTGAACCCGGGGAGGCAGCAGAAGATGCCGCAAGTACTTGGGTCCTTGCCACCCCTGTGGGACACCCTCAGATTTCCATGGCTCCTGGCTTCACCTCCTCCACCCCCTGCTGGTTGTTGTGGGCATTCGGGGAGTGAGTCAGGGGGTGGGATTTCTCTCTCTCTTCAGCTCTACCTCATAAGCAAATTCACTTTAATAGAGGGAGGCCAGAGCTCAGTTGATGAAAGTCAGCAGTAGGGGTTGGTACTAGATATTCTGGCGTCCACCCATGGGGTGACACAAAGCTGTAAGATGTGGATCTGTCTTTGCTGGCTGGGCCTGTCAGAGCCTTCTACGTGCAGGAGAGTGGGCAGGGTGGGGCTTCCCCCAGATAGACGCCTGTGAATGAATGATTTCTGGGATGCCTGCTGGCTGGATCTTAATGCTCAGAGCCCAGGCTGCTCCGACTAACAGATGAGAGTAACTCATTTGCCTGTTGGCTTCAAGCTACTTGCAAGAAGTGTTGAGGGCGCCACCTGCTGGCAAGCACTTGCTCTGGTCTAAGCTTCCTAATTTGTATGACGGTCGGGGCGAGGTCAGGAATGCCAGGAGTGAGTGGGGCAGAGGGTGGGGGATCATCCTCCGGGGAACCCAGCTGGGGACCACCAGCTGCAGGAGGTGGGTCCAGGCCGCCCTGGACAGAGGAGGAGACTGGTAACACTGAATTACATCACCGAGAATCACACCATCTGGATTCAATTCCTGGTGCCACCAATGGGTGACTTTATGCCTTTGAGAGTTAGGAGGACGTTTGTGATCTCTATTGTCCTCAGCTGGGGAGACAGTGTCAGCAGGGCTCTGGGGCATGATAAAGAGATAGGTACAGGGTTGGCACTGTGGCATAGCAAGTAAAGCTGCTGCCAGCAACACCAGCATCCCATATGGGTGCTGTTTTGAGTTCTAGCTGCTCCACTTCTGATCCAGCTCCCTGCTTGTGCATCTGAGAAGGCAGCGGAAGATGGCCCACATACTTGGCCTGCTTGTATCCAAATGGAAGACCCAGAAGAAGCCTGGGATCTGTCGATTGGAATCTGCTTGTTGACAAGACACCTGCTCATATCTGTCACTGGGAGTTTGCGGGCTGGCAAGTACCAGCAAGGACAGTGGATCCCAGATAGGGGGTGTGCTCCAGGGAAGGTCATAGGGGGCAGACTCCCATGGTCTTTAGGGACGCCCATCAGTCATGGGACAAAGTAGCAATGTGAGTTCAGCCTTGCCTTAGTCATTGGACATGGAGCCTTCCCAAACCCCTCTCCCTCCTGGCGCACCTGCAGAACCCAGAGAACCAACTGATCAGACAGCTGCCAGCTCCACAGCCTCGTTGCCCTCCACACCTGTGTATGTTAGTTTTCATGGTGACATTTACACTGAGCCTACTTTGGGGAGGAAGGGGCCGGGGGCACCAGGCATCACCAGAAATAGAAAATAGTTCACGCCAAACCTGGTGATTCCATGGCCAGCAACGTGGGCCCTGTCGGCTCTGTGGAGCTGACAGGCCTGGGTTTTCTTGCAGGGCACCTGCTTAGAGAGTCTTGGGGCTCCGAGCTTGGGCAGAGCTGAAGGGGAACAGGAAGAGTAAGGGATGAACACCAGCACAAATTGGTGGGCCCGACCTCTGCCCCATGCTGTGTATGTCTCCCCATCTGGTCTTCCTGTCTTCATTAGTCAAGGCGTCTTCAGGCTTTGAGGGGCTCATGCTCCAGTCTCGGGCAAGAAAAGGTGAAGTGTGCAGATGCACCTTAGAGACCCAAGGCCAGCTTGGCACTGCATCCCAGGCAGAGGAGATAGTATGTAGGGGTGTCAGCTTTTGGGGGGAACTTCTCAGCTTCTCTTCCTACCTCCTTCCCCCCCATGACAAGGCTATGGACTCCAGTCAGTGCTAGGTGTGTGCTGGCCCTGGCCTAATGAGAGTTTCTTTCTTGCGCTTAGTGGGAAGCTGGGGATGTGGTGGAGGGAGGCAAAAGTCAGACCAAGGTGTCTGGGTGAGCCACCTGCAGGCTGGGACATACCATGCCCCTAAATCAGGTGGGCATGGCAAGTGGCATCATCTCCCAGATTCCTTTTGCGCCAAGAAAGCCATTTCAGGATTCTCCAGTGGGTAAGCCTGCCTCCCAGTGGAGGCTTGTAGTAACTACAGGCCTTGACATTAAACCTTGACATTCAATCCTAAAAGGGGAAGGGAACTCGCGTGTAACCAATACTTCTTCGCATATCCTTCTTCCCTGACTGTTCATACACAGTGACAAGTTCTGCTGCAAGAACAGGGTGCAAAGGGTCTGCTCATACCCTGTTCTGTTGCCTGACTCCCACCCCATACCTGGAGAAATCTGGGCCAGGCAGAACGTGGAGGGGACAGAGTCTTGGGGAGGGATCCAGGTCCCTGCTGATGTGCCTGGGAAAGCAGGCAAGGATGACTCATGTCGGAGATATGCATGAAACTCTTGACTCCTGGCTTCAGCCTGGCCCAGCGTTGGCAGTTGCAGGCACTTAGACGGAAGATTTCTGTCTTCTCTGTGACTCACATAAATAAACTTTAACAATTTTTCTTAATAGTTCCTACATCAAAGTGACAATTAATATGAAGAAGAGT